TTCTCTATTTGTTTCTACATCCTCCTTGTTTTTTTTTTTTTTTTGGCTATTTGAATATATTTAAGATATTTGACTTAAAGTCTTTGTCCAGTGGCTTCAAACTCTGTCCTTCCTTACAAATAATTTCTCCTGTGAATGGGCCATATTTTCTTGTTTCATTGCATGCTTCATATTCTTTGTTGAAGATTGGGTATTTTGAATGTTATAATGTTGTAATTCTTGAAATCAAATTCTTTCTTCTCCTCAGGGTTTGTTTTCCTTGACTCCTGTAGACTATAGCTGTTTATTAATTTTTCCAAATTGTCTCTATAAAGTTTTTTTTGTCATGTGTGGTTTCTGAAGTCTTGGTTCTGTCAAACGAGTGTATGCTCCTAGGTTCTTGGTCTTGTCACAACAAAAATTTGGAGTGACGGACATTGAAGCCCCCTCGGTGGGTCACAGCTCTTGGGTCTTGGACAGACCACTGTTATAGCTCTTAAATAAATCAGTGTTACAGCCCAGTGTTACAGCTCTATTTTATTTAGATGATAGAAGGAAAATCCATCTTCGAGGTGTGAGGGCACTTCGATCCAAAGATGGGAAGAGAAGAGCGCCCCATGGTGCAGGAGAGAGAGAGAGAGAGAGAGAAGAGGGCTTTGGCTCCTCTTTTTATATGTTTTTTTGTTCCCCCTGGGCCTGCCCTATGCAAATTGGGCTTAGGCAGGAGCACTGTTCTACCTGAAGTCCTCACTCCGGTCCTCGGACCTTCCTTTGTTCTATTTTCACGGGCTTTTCCCTTCCAGGTCTTTTAGCCACCGCCATTTTGGACTCATTTTCCCTATTCTAACTACCTAACAGTTCCTTTACCTTGCATTTATCTAGGATTTAGACAAAGATTTCCTTCCACACAAGGAACCAGAGAGAGAGAAAGAGAAAGGGAAAGGGACAGGGAGGGGAAAAAAGAGAAAGGAAGGAAGAAGGAAATAAAATAAAGAAGAAAGAAGGAAAGAAAAGAATAAGGAATCCTTAGAATTGAGAACAATAAAAAAAACCTCTTCCGAGTTTGCAAATTGGCTCTGCGCTGGGGCACGTCAGTGCTCAGCACTTAACCAGAGTGTTTATAATTCTGTCTTAGCTTTTACTTCATGCTTGCACTGATCCTGGAGGTGTAGTCTTAGGGTCTTCTTAGGTGTTTTCTGGGCTTCATCTTGCCCTGGACATGTGTGTTGCTTTCTAAATTCCCCAGGATACGCAGGGGCTTTTGAATGCCCTAATTTCCAACGGAAATTTTCCTTCCAAGCTTGAGCACTCTATTGTAGGCCTCAACTGTTATCTTTTGTCTCAGGTGGAGGTAATCGTTTATTTGCTTGCCTTTATGTTTTTGAGGAATGCCTGCTGCCTTTCCACTCTGAGTTCCAAGTTAGATGAAACAAAGACAAATTTATTGTTTCAGTCTTTCAAGTAGCCCCTGGATAGGTTAGAACAGACAAACACAAGTTCTTTTTAGATAAAGTCTTCTCTGCTCCATTTAGAACTGGCGACTAGAGTTCCACCACGGGAATCTAGATTGCTATCTTTAAGACTGCCACTGAGTTGATATCTGGGTCGGGTGAGGGCAAGTAGAAATATTGCAGTTTTCCTACCGTTTTTAAGTTGCCTTTTTACTTCATTCGGCATTCACTTGGGTACTGTAGGACTTTGATAACTGGAGTTCAGACAAAGTTGGTTTTGAAAGTTTGCTTGACTTTTCTACTTTTTTTTGGTGGAGGGACAAGTGTTTGGATTTGCCTACTCTGCCTTGCTAGCTGACATCACTCTCTGCACTGTGTATTGCCTCTTGTGCATATTCTATTTCCAGATCTCATCATTCTGTTGACCATCACCCCAGTTCTATCCTTCCAAAATACTACCCATATAAACCAAAGTTTATAATATGCTTTTAGGGTTAAAAAAAAATTAAAGGTTTTTGTCGGGGATTATGTCACAGCCAAGCATATCACAGTATTTTACCACATTGACTGAAATATTTGGCTTCCCTATTCATTACTGGGGCTTCCCTGGTGGCTCTGAAGGTAGAGAAGCTGCCTGCAATGCAGTGGACGGTTCGATCCTTGGGTTGGAAAGATCCTGTAGAGAAGGGGATGGCTACGTACTCCAAAATTCTTGCCTGGAGAGTTCCAAGGACAGAGATCCCTGTTCCTTAGTATCCCTTTGTTATTGACACAGCAGCCCACTCCCTCTGCGCTCTGAGTTTCTTTCCCACCCTTTCCTAAGTCCCCTTACCTCTTTGTCTGGGTAGGTTCAGTAACACCAGGATTCTCATTTTACTGTTCAGAACAACTTCACTGCCAGCCCACCCCATCATTGACATAGTCCACTTTCAAATCAGTCCATCAAAATGTTTTGATATAAAAAAGGAGTGGGGCTTTTTATCCCCGAGAAGGAAATCTGCTCCCAGCTTTTAAAATGCAAAAGTTTCTCCCAGCTGTACATATTTTATTTCATGTTGAAAATGTAGATACATTTAAAAACTCAGAACATATTTATGTTGTCTCTATGGTTGTTGCAGCCATGAAATTAAAAGACACTTACTCCTTGGAAGGAAAGTTATGACCAACCTAGATAGCATATTAAAAAGCAGAGACATTACTTTGCCAACAAAGGTCCGTCTGGTCAAGGCTATGGTTTTTCCAGTGGTCATGTATGGACGTGAGAGTTGGACTGTGAAGAAAGCTGAGCACCGAAAAATTGATGCTTTTGAACTATGGTGTTGGAGAAGACTCTTGAGAGTCCCTTGGACTGCATGGAGATCCAACCAGTCCATCCTAAGGGAGATAAGTCCTGGGTGTTCATTGGAAGAACTGATGCTGAAGCTGAAACTCTTTTGGCCACCTCATGTGAAGAGTTGACTCGTTGGAAAAGACCCTGATGCTGGGAGGGATTGGGGGCAGGAGGAGAAGAGGACGACAGAGGATGAGATGGTTGGATGGCATCACCGACTCGATGGGCATGAATTTGAGTAAACTCCGGGAGTTTGTGATGGACAGGGAGGCCTGGTGTGCTGCGATTCATGGGGTCACAAAGAATCGGACACGACTGAGCGACTGAACTGAACTAATGGTTGTTGCTCTTCAGCCGCTAAATCAGGTCTGATTCTTTGTGATCCCATGGACTGTAGCCCACCAGACTCTTCTGTCCATGGGATTTCCCAGGCAAGAATACTGGAGTGAGTTGCCATTTCCTTTTCCAGGGGATCTTCTCAACCCAGGGAAGAACCCAGGTCTCCTGCATTGGCAGGTGGATTCTTTACTGCTGAGCCACCAGGGAAGCCCCTATCTCTATGATAAGCTCCATTTAAAAATGATTATTTTTCAGCAACTGGCATAAAAAAAATCATTTCATTTCCTTTTATAAAGAAATAATAATAGTATTTTACGAAGTTGTGGTTTCACAAATATGATATTAACTCTTTTCAAAATGTTGTTTCTTAAAGGAATGAAGACAATTTTATGATTGGATGATTATTCAGTAAAAGAAAGAGGCTCTTTTCCTTTGTGTAAGTTAAAACTATTTTCAGTTTTCTTTTTTATTCTGTTTTTGTTCTAGGAATCCAAACTGTGGCTGAAATATCCTTTTTTCAGAAAACAAATTTTTCTTGTTATAATGTAACACACATTTATCTGGTATTTAAATAAAAAAACTGAAGAATGAATAAGACAAAATTTTTGAACTCTGAAAATTCATAAATATATAAAACATAAAAATCATGAGTAATCCCATTACTCAGAGATACCAACTGTTATCTGTTTAATATACACCCCTCATGAACTTTTAAACTGCCATATATATAAACATTTATTAATATATTTGTGTATTTATGTGTGTGTGTATTTTTCTCCTTAACAAAAACAAGACTTTAGTGAGGCATTTTTTTTATTTCAATAAATATAAAAGTACCATTTTAATGTGATAGTTATTTCTGGATGTGCAAGAGTTTAATCTATTTTAATCAGTAAGCACTTACTTTATTTCCATTTGGTTTATACTATAAACATTGCATATATAATTTAGAACTTGTAAGAAACTTAAGTATTTAATTCTGATATCTTAGGTAGTTTTCTTTAAACATTTGCTGCTATAAACAGACTTTAACACAAAACAATATTTGGAATTGTTTCAAAACTCTTTGATCACAAAAGTAGGCAATCATCAGTAAGTGTCTAAAATGTCTTAAACATTCCTAACCTTAACAGCCTACCTTCCAGACTGGCTACAGTCTGCTGTTTTGGCTTTAACTCCTTGAGATGCCTACAAAGTCTCCACTCTGATCAAGTGGGTTTATTCATGGAGAGGAGCCCAGTGTTTTGCTGTCTTTCTGGCCATACCACTTGCTGTTTTTCAGGCTGAAAATCACTTCCTCTTTATCTGCACTGATCAGATCTAATCCAGAATTATAGGTCTAGCTCAAATCCCACTTGTCCCATAAACCCTTCCCCATCTGCGAGCAGGAAGGGATTTTTCCTCCCATTAAAGTCCCTTGGCAGGCGATATTTGTGCCATTTTTGGGCAATTAAATATATATGTCTTGTAACAGTTACTTCTCATGTTTTCAAATATTTTTCAAATTATGCTTATTGTTTCTTCATTGGTATATTTGTATCATCTTTCTACAACTGTACAAAAGGCTACTGAAGGAGGGATCAGTCTTGCCCATCGTTATACCTTGCACATAGATAGGGCCTGATAAATGTTTATTGATAAAATAATTCCTATAAATCATAGATCTATTAGTAAAATTCTCATTCAATCCAATCTCTATGCACAAATAGCATATGAAAAAAGCAATTTCTTCAAGCTCTTTCATCAAGATATAAAATCTTGGTTACTGACTAAATACTGTCATCGTTGGCAAGTGAACTATGTAATCTTTAAGTCAAAATAATATCCTTGAGATTTTTTCTGTATTTTTACAATATTTGAAATATCTACTTAAAAGTTTGCATAAATATTGGATTGCTTACCTCACAAAAACTTAAGTAGAAGCACAAAAGTAAGAGAACGACATGACCAAGCTTCATGTTGGAGACAATCAGGATCTGTGTCTCTAGTCTGGACTCTTCTGCACCCCAGGTATTCTTTTGAAATTTAATTTTTAACCTCTGAAAAAATATTTAAAAAGAGCAGGCCTCCTAAAGAGCTTTGTACTTTTGAACTTGTGGAGAACTTGGCAAAAATCCAGAGTTTTACCGTAAATGAAACCAAAAAAGACCTCAGCAAATAGCTGAGGGAATGTGTTTCCCACAGAGAAAACTGATGCCCCACCTCGATTCTGAACAATGCCTTGTTCTGTTTGCAGAGTAGACAGAAACCACTGAAAGAAATTTCTTACGCTTTGGTAAAACAGAATCATATTTTTCTTTAAGGACGAAGACTAGGAAACGGTAAGGAGTAAAAAGTCCATCGTACTGAATGCTATGCTGAACACTAGAAATCCTCACCAAAATGGTTCCTTTATCAATCATGGGTTGTCCTGTGATAAATTCTTTTTCTCTCAGCAGAAATGCTGTCACAGTTCGATTCTCTGGAAGCAGGTGTGAGACATAGTTTGGGGTGGGAGATACAAGGAAGGGAGCAGAAGCAGGAATGAACAGAAAGAGAAAGCGGACTGCAATGTGGGTCTGACACAGCCTCGGACAGCGCGGGGTCGGGGGCGGTGGGTGCTCTGGAGTGATAATGGCGGGTCACAGGGGCCCTGGGTCATGCAGAAATGGCTGGGTCCTGCCTGCCTTGCTCGGTGACCTGGTGACAGTTGCCCAGGAAATGCATGCCCTTGGGTGAGGCAGGTCTTCAGTTGCTGTCAGAGAGAAGTGTCCGCGGACCACGCTCTTCACAGCCAGGCCCTCAGAACTTCCTTGAAAGGGGGATCTGGGAAATTCATCTCCTGGCCTTTCAGAGTCTACCATTTGCACCTTTGAGGTCTGCTTCCCATGGATGTTTCAAGGGTGGGTCCTTCACACTAGCAGTGGGCCTCTTCCTGAGAGACAATTTAGGAGAGGGAGGTTGCGGGGGGCGGCGGTGGATCTGTAGCCCCTGCCCCTTCACACTTGCCGTGGGCCTCTTCCTGAGAGACAATTTAGGAGAGGGAGGTTGCGGGGCGGCGGTGGAGCTGTAGCCCCTGCCCCTTCACACTTGCCGTGGGCCTCTTCCTGAGAGACAATTTAGGAGAGGGAGGTTGCGGGGGGCGGCGGTGGAGCTGTAGCCCCTGGCCCTGGAGTTGATCTCGGGGCCGCAGTTACTCCTCAGCCTCTGCCTCCTTCCTGTCCACTCCAGACCCCCCTCACCCTGAGCCTCCCCGTCTGCTGGCCTCAGTGGCTTGCCTGGAGCCATGACCCTCAGCCTCTTCCCGGAGTGGCTGAGCCCCTGAGTACCATTCCATTCTCAGACCATGGCTGCTGTTCCTTCCTCTTTACTGACAGGAGACACCTGAGGAGCTCTCACGGTTCCCCACACGTTCCTCCCCACCCTCGCTGTGTAACAGCAGACTTCCTTCCGCTGAAGTCAGACAGGTTACTTCTGTCAAGACGGTGAGTCCTCCTCTCCCCAGGCAGCTCAATGTGCACCAGGCAGAAGGCGTAGCACATAGTTCACTGGGATTCCTGTTTGTACCCCAGGGGAGCAGTGTGTTTCCTTTGAGAAACAGACCTCAGAGAGCAAAGTGTGGGGACAGGAAGCACAGAGCCTCCAGTTGGTCATCAGAAGTGACGGCAAGTGTGGTCATTCCTGCTTCTGCTTCTTGGGTCGCAGATACAGTGCCGCATGACGGTCCTTCGATTCAATGCGTATACTGCTTCTTGGAGAACAGCACCCAGTCCTCCGATTATTGTCTTAAGTGGCACCTCAGTTCGGCCTTCAGCAGGCTACTCCAATGCTCCATAAGGCTGTCAGCTTCACAGTGGTGCGGTTATATGGTATGACCAGTGAACTGCACGGCCAGAGCTCCACGCTCACATCTCCTTTGCTAGAAGTGGGTTCCCTTATCTAGCGGGATGTTACATGGGATCCCTTGTTGCAGGATGAAATACTCTGTAATCCTTTGACTCATGACCGTGTGGCCCTGCAGGTAGGAAAGGTACCTGTCTTTATGTCTGTTTATTTATGTCTATTGCTGTGAGGATGTACCTCTGGCCTTTTAAAGACTGAAACAAGTGAAGGATCAATTTACCACCAAGAGGCTAGCTGGTATCCTTGATGAGTTGTGCCATCTTGAGGGCTCGGCCTTGGTCCCTGATGATATCAGATTGGACATTTGTTGATGGCAGTAGCCAAAGAAACCTTCAGAGCCTGTGCTATTATTGGCCATCTCTGTCACCGTAGCCATTTTACCCTTGTTCCCGTTGTGTTAGTACTGAGATGGTTGATGACTGAGACTGGCTGATATCAATTAGCTGAGTCATTTTGTTGACTATTTATTACTTTTCTGTAGTGGATGTTCTCTGGTGGTGTTAACATGCATTACAAAGATTTTTATACTTCATTCCCACTCCTATAGGTATGTCCACAAGTTTCTACTCAGACCTTCTTGTTCTTAATCTTTGAATATCTTTCATTTTAGGAAAGAAGACCATCAGGCAATTACTACTGCCTGTGATTCCATATATAGTCTAACCTCAGGCCTCTTTTTTCCCCCACACAGAGTGGATAGCCATGTGTACAACCTGAAGCTCTGCCCACTGGGAGGACTTTCTTCCACCGCTGTCTTTCAGAACCATTACCAAGCACGGCTCTCATTCAGCTGCCGTGTTTGGGGTGTACCTACATACAGAGCCATGCATCTGTGAAGCAAACTCAAACGTTTCTCTCCTCCTCCAGCTGCTCATGCCAGGGTTCCCATAGAGCCACAGGGGTGAGGCTGAGGGACACAGGTGCAGCAGTTTGGATTTGGGGGAAAAGGGAGAAGCCTGGCCACCTGCTCAAGTACTTTGCTGGTGCCCTTTGCTCCTCTCTGCCCCCTGTTCTAAATGTGACAGGCTCACCTTATGTTTTTGCTAGGCCTGTTCAACCTTGTACTTCATGGGTTTGCTAGGACCCAGCCCACAGTGTGCATTTCTCCCACAATGACATATCAGTCATTCCACATTTACCAGTGTTCAGTAGTGCGTGGGTTGTTTCTCAAAAAGAATACAATCCGCTGCTGCAGATGGCATGGCCTTGCTCCAGAACCTCAGGGTGCTGTTCTTCCGCTGAGTCTTCCTCAAACACTCTGCAATGTTTTTTCCCACTGGTGACACCTCCAATGCCACAGGGTCTTCTGGATTACTGAAGAACTCTTTCCTGCTCTGGGAGCCAAAGCATTATTCTTCAGTGTGAAATATTTGTCCCCCAAATCAAATATTCCCCAAAAGGAATATCTCCCAAAAGACTGACTAAATTTTATGCTTCCTTCTTTGTGAAATGAAGTACAAGACAAAATAATTTGTCCTTTACATTTGATGTCTTGGAAAAAATCCGAGATGTTTTCTCACAATTTTACTTATGTGCCACTTGTTGCCTGCTCTCTGGAGCATGTACGTCTTATCAAGGCATTCCACATGCTGGCCATCTCTTGCTTATCTGCTCTGATTAAGGTAATGCCATCAGTGTAATAAAACAATTTAATGTTCTATAGGAAATCTCAGTGATAACCAGATCTCTTCAGACTTTCTTATGGCAGAAGTTGGGAGATAAGACATATGAGAAAATTATAAATGTATACTGTTGTTCATCCCATGTGAATGCAAACTGTTTCTGATATTCTTTTCTGCTTAAAATACTTACAGTGGTTACAGTTTTTCTGAAAACATTCTTACTGATATACTTTATAATATTGCTGGAACTAGAATCAAGGTTCTTATCTCTAAAAGAAATTTGATTGAAACAAATACTAAACCTTAGCAGGGGTGGAATTTCTAAGCTTAGAAAGAATAGAAGAAAACAAAATTAAACATTTTATAACAAAAAAGCACTGAAAAGTGAACTAAGCATATAACTCAGGATACTATTTAAAACATAATGCAAAAGAATCAAAATAGTAGAAAGGAACTAATAAAGACATAAGCAATAGTAAATAAACCAGAAAGTAAAAAACCAGTAGACTTGATAAATAACATGAGTCATTCAGAGAAATAATTTTTAAAAAGAGAGAGCAAAACAATTTTAGAGGAAAGCTATTGAAGTGGTCATTTCTAGGGGGCTGCCAACATCCATTGTCCTTAATAATAGGGTCCCAATTTTCTGTGTGGAATTATTTTTCTTCTATTATGAGTTGTTTTTGGTAGGAGAGTAATTCCAGGCACCTGCTTTCCAAATGGAAGTTGAGAAATCCATATCCAGCCTCCTTCCATTCCTTTTTATAGCCCAGGGACTGATCAAAGAGTCTCTGTCTCTGGTGTTTGGGTCTTGAGATAAGTGATAAGAGAACAAAAGAAACAGTTGTGAATTATTTATTGCAGCAGGAGAAGCAGCATACTGGTCAGACTGTTACAGCTACAGATAAGTTTCCTTGGATTCCTCTAGGCCTCGTTAAGTATCTTTAATTCTTAAGCCTAGTTTCTTAGCCATCTGTCAGTACTTGCGAACATCCTATTATTTTCTACTGAATTTTCTTTTACTGAAGTTAGCCAGTGTTGGCTTGGTGGCTTGTCACTTAGAAATTTAGGTGATAAAGTCATGTGCAATTTATCAAATAATCTGAAGATCTGAAAAAAAATTTCAAGGAAAATAGAATTATCAGAGTCGACTTGGGATGAGATAGAAAATTCAAATAAAGTAATAGCTAAGATGAAATGGAAAAATTAAAGATTTTAAACTCCCAACGATACTAAGTTTTGACAACTTTTTAAAGAAAGATCATTCTGTCAATGTACAGCAAAACCACTACAATATTGTAAAGTAATTAGCCTCCAATTAAAATAGATAAATTAAAAAAAGAAAAATCATTCTTTTGTTATTTAAACTTTTTCAGAACATGAAAAAAGATAAAAAGCTCTCTGACTTATTAGCAATACTCTGACATACTTATCCAAAACTGGGTAAGATAAGC